TCTGTTATGCCTGTCATCAGCCAGGACATCTAGCCCTGTCTCTTATACACATCTAGATGTGTATAAGAGACAGGTCTCTCTCTCTCTCTCTCTCTCTCTCTCTCTCTCTCTCTCTCTCTCTCTCTCATGATGCAAGCCAACCAATGAACTGCATGTCCTGCCATGCTGGTAAATGTAAAATGTTTGTCACTTGGCGTTTTGCATTGCCTACGCAGTAGTTGTCACTTCTTTGTTCCTACTTGGTCTTGCATTTGTTCGACTACTTTGTTTTTCTTTGCCATGCATTTGTCCCACATCTTCCATTCATTCTGTTCCTTTGGTTTCTGAATGACAGACGAAAAGTCGAAAACCTCTTTTCTATGTTTCAGCCTCCTGTCACTACTTCTATTGACACCAAAAGAAGGCACATTGCCAAGCCACCGGAGCCTCTTTTTCCTGATTTTTCCTCGCACGGCACAATTGTTTTTGGTTTTGGTAGGCCAAGTCCCAAAAGATGAAGCGTGCATTGTGGTGTACATACGGCTGCATTGGAACAAAATAGCTGGGAATTGTACTGCCCATGAGTACTTCCGCTTTTCCTGATTCGAATTTCTGCTGTGCGCCATCAGTGCTGTGCATTTTATTTTATTTTTTTGCCTGTAGTGGCCGGCCATTTTGGTCTAGTAGGCCAAGCAATGAGGAACCCGGATTGTTAAAGAACAGAACAGCTGGGAAAGATAACGGTGGTTTAACCCTCTGTGCAATGTGCAATAAGCAATGAGCTTACCTTGTTCACCCGCCTTTCCTTATCTATAAAAATAGGGAAAATTGCATCTGTAGATTCTGTACCCCCCTTAAAGATGGGAATAGCGGCTATACCCAGTCCCAGCGCCAACTTGCATAAAAAAACCCAAAACAAGGCTGGTGGAAATTGTTTGCACGCCCAGGACCAAGGTGGACCCAGGTTGGCACAGCAAATTTGCGGTTATAACGAACTACCGGAATGCACAAATTACGGACATACCCAGGCAAAATTATGGGCATACTCAGGACCTGAGGAGGAGCGGCCAAATTGTTCATATACCTAGCTACTGGATGGCTGAAATTATGCTCATTCCCAACAGCCGTTGGGCCACAGCGGTCTACGTGGTGGGCATGAGCATAATTTGGTGGGCCTGCGGTATTGGGCACACCTACAATTTTGCACAGGGGAAAAGCTGGGTACTATGCAAAGTTGAACGGCCTCCGGGACCCGGTTTAGATGCAAGTTTGTGCTGGGACTGGGTATAGCGGGTATTCCCATCTTTAAGAGGGGTACAGATGCAATTTTCCCATAAAAGTAACCTGGTGCAGAAAATAAAAAATAAAATAAAAGAAGGCAATACTCCTTGACAGGTGGAGACTTCATGGTATACTGTTGAGGGAAACGAAAGAGCCTGAAGAGAGTCCCATTTGGCGGACATTCAAGAGGCAAAGGTTTGACTGGATGGATGGCTACGAGGCAGGGAAGTGCCCTACCTCCAAAACTTTTGACCGGGCTCAAGTAAGCCAGGTTTTTGATGTACTGGCCGGCCCATGGCCAGTTCGACAGGTTCTCCATGTGAAACTTTTCTTCAGGTGAAAATAATCTCTATTGCAATTGCACTGATGACTCAAATGGCTTGTCAAGAGAAGAACTCCCCCCCCCCCCCCCCCCCCCCCCCCCCCTAACCCTCATCCCCCCCCCCCCTTTTTTTAAAGGTTGCGCAAGGGTGTACATGGAAATGTTCTCTTTGCCGTTTGTGTCACCGAGTTCTAAATTGCTGACATTTTGTGTTTGGAAACTGTGCAGTGGAGTTCAGAAGCGGCTCGCCTCAGCCTCAGCTACTCGACAGAAGATTGCAGCTATTCTCATGGCCATTAGCAAGAAGTATCAACAGTCTAAGAGAGTGTGGGAGGTAAGGGCGCATGCCTTGAAGGGCATGCATACTTTTCTTTTCTTTTTTGAAGAAGAAGAAGTCTTGCTGCTCGCCTTACCTTGTATCTTGTACTATTTTGAAGTTACATTCTGTACCTTGTCAATCTGCACATGGTCTTTGACTTTGTCTGCGTACACTGTCGTTGACTTTGTCGATGTGACTGCTCTGTTGGCGTGTTATTTGTGACACGATCTGCCATCGCCTGCGCTTGCCTGCATAAAACACTGCAGGTGTAAACTTAGGATCGTGGAGGTTGGCAAGGGTTCGCTTACGTGTACCACAGAGTTTGGAATCTGAAGCGGACAGTCTCAATCGAGTCCTCTGTTCACTGTTCTTCTCCTCTCTTTGCGGCATGTCAATGAACCCTCGGCACTAGTACCGATCCTCTTGTCTGCACTTGGAACACAGTGTTCGCAGCCAGGAAGGTGCTTTGACCGACCACGGAATGACAGTAAGCTCGCTATAAGATGAAAACAAGGAGTAAGGGGGAAAACCAGTTTCAAAATCGCAAAGCTGAACAGCGGCTTTCGTTAGGGACACCGTTCGTACGGCATGCGGATCCCATTCACATACATCATAAATGATCATTGTAGGGAAAGGAGGACAGTGAGGGACTAGAGATGGGCGTTCCCGAGAGCAAAGTGGCAACTTCTGCACTGAGAAACTGTTGGGAGTAGGTGGTCATTCTGCCGAGTTTGCACGATCACACAGAGCATGCAAAAAGAAAGGGGTCGCTATCTCACGACATCAAGATTCTGCACACCGGGGACAGTAATCTATGGTCCGGAATGGGACCGGCTTCACGTATCAAGTCCGTTATCCTAACCTTAACCTCTGCTTCATCGAAGCCGTTCTTCGACTTTTGCGTGCTGCTTTCAGGCATGACCTATCACTAGGCATACCACGCACGTGTAGCTCACAAACCATTCATTTTGCGACAAACCATGCTCGTGCAAACACAAAGGCGAAAAGAAGCATCACAGCTTTCATGAAGTTCCATTCAAAGAGGGGAAAAGCATGTGAACCCTCCCCTCTTACACATGGCCCGAGCCGAGCCAATCACCACCTGAACACACCACCTGTCATCCGAATGCCGACAGTCTGCCGTTGGACACTCCATGAAACACCCCAGTGATCATCTCCGTGCTGGCGTGGTCAGCACGCTGGGTTCAAACAACTCCTGCAATCCATTGCAGCGACTTACCAACCGCGCTTGCCCGCTACCGGCTTGTCAGGACACTATGACTCGCCGATCAACCAAAAAAAAGCTGCCGATCTCGCTCATTCACTGGGAAGATTAGTGAGAGCAAGGGAGACACGCTTCCAAAGTTTATAGGTGCAAGGCGGGGACAAGATTCGTGCATGCAGCATGTGTGCAAAGGGATGAGAAAGAGAGGGGAAGGAGGGAAAGGCCGGAAGGCGTTGCCAAATCGAACCGCGGTGTGGGTGAAAGTAGCCTCTCTCTACATGATGATCCGACATGCAGAGCCATGGGGCCAATCAGGATGAAGGGGAGGAGAGCAGAAGAGGAGATTCATGGAGGAGGGGGAAGAGTTTAGCGCAAAGGAACGAGAGAAGAAGAAAGGGAAGAAAAGACAAAGTTTAGCGCGAAGAGTGGGAGACGAAAGGCTGCAGTACGGATAGAGGTGCTGTTTACAATCAAAGAGTGCTAGCAAGGAACTGTGCACGCGCAGAAATGAGAATTTGTGAAGATGCAAAAGAAAAAGGAAAAGTGATGGAAACCAGAACATCCCGTAAAAGCAAATGTTCAGAGTCTTCTTCTCAGTAGAACAGGGATGGATTTGCAGTGTATATACCAACTACATGACAACTGCGATAACCATATAATGCATGGTCATTGTCGCTGTATCCAGACAGAAAATTGCACCTAATACAGCTATAATGACCACTTCGATTCGGGTGAAGAAGGTAGCGCGTGAAAATGTTGTGCATGATATCGTGTGCACCACCATGTCTTTCAATTTTCAAAGCTTTTAATTGAGCTGCAGAACCTACATGACTTACGAACAATGTCTCCAACTGTGTGGATTGGATACGATGCTTCCGCAGGCCATACCTGAACCAGACTTATCCAGTCTGTGAGCATGGCCATTCACCATACGTTTTATATCACGAAAAATATGAAGATAAACCACAATAAAGAATAGAGTGAAACTTTCACACCCTTGGTGATTACTCGAGTCCCCTCCGAACCATACGAGATAGTCACCTATCATACGGCTCTCCAACTCAACTTACGATTAGGATAGATATATATTTTTGGATATAGGCCCTGGCAATGTTGAGTATAACCTTATTATCAGACTGACTACCAGTTTCACACACTCCTTTCTGTCGTTATAGCAAGGCAATGGTAAACTCATGCCTGCTTTCTGATGGGAACTTTGGGTCTTTCAAGGCAAAGCTACGCCGGATCTTATTGGCATCAGACATCTTTCAGATTCTGACAAGTACACCTGTTCATGTATGGCTTGTCCCTAAACTTCTAGCGATCCTCCAAGGCCCCTAGAAGTCAGTGGAGGAGGTAGGTTGTCATGGCAGCGGCTGTTGGTGCCATGTGGCAGGCTTCCTCTTCATCCCTAGAGACAACGGGCCTCGCCACAGCACTCCCGGAATGTGCAAAATGGAGCATGCATTTTCCGCAAAAACATGGGACGATTCACCTGCCATAGGTTTTGTCTTTTTCACATTCCGGGAGCCAGGGGGGGGGGGGCGCGGGGGACAGGAGGGGCGGAAGATTGCATGCGTTTTCCTGACCCTCTGTGTCTTGTTGTTTACTGCAAAGTGATGGTTCCTTCGGTATGGTTGTCTCAAGGGGCATAGTATAGTCGAGCTTACAATCTGAATGTCTGTTATGCCTGTCATCAGCCAGGACATCTAGCCCGTGATTGCCCCCACCGACCCCCACAACAGCGGATCGGGGTCGCGCCCATGGCTGCGGCCCCCATCGCTAACGGACCTGGACGAGTCGGAGCTTTGATGGAAGAAGTAGAGGGTGGGGGAAGTGCCCTGGCCACCACGGAAGAGGCCGCCGAGCTAATCCCGCTAGATCAGTACGTATCCGTTGGTTATCCCGGGCTTGGAATGATCGGAACAATCAGACCAGCACCAGAACCAAAAGAGGTGGCGGAGTGGCGACCGTCTCTAGGAGAAATGGAGTCGGGAGGACCCACCTTCGTCACGGGAGAGATCGATGTATTAAACAAGTGGAATCTGGCCCCGAGCCTTGGACCATCGGATTCCACTTCCGATCGGTCATCTACTCTCGATCTCCGAGCAAGCCAATGAGCGAATGCTACAGCATTGCAAAGCAAACCCATGTTCCTGTAGACTGTAGTTTTGCTAGGCTCGACAGGATGCAAACGATTGGTTGTGAGGGTTATGCAAGTGGAATCTGGCCTAGAGCCTAGAGGGACCTGACATTTCTTGATTTGTACAGGTCCTACTTGTCCATCCAATGGTCATGCTAATGTTCTGTATATGCTGATGATGAGTTTGATGGGCCTAGCTCAGTGGTTAACCCATGAACTGTTGAAATACAGACCAGAGATCGAATCCAGATGAAGTTGATGAACAGAATAAAATAATTCTGAATTACCTGGGGCCGGTCAGTTCGATGATGAACCGTTGCCCTTTTTTGAGAGGAAAAAAAAAACTTGTGCGTTGCTCAGATTTTAGCGGATGTCTCCAAGGAAAGTGAGCTGATACTTCTGCCGCCATTCTTTTTTTCCTTTTTCTGTTTCTTTTTCTCTTTTCTTTTTTTTTCTTTTTTTTTCTTCTTTTTTCTTTCCTTGGAAAGACGAGTATTGAGATATCCTAAATCTTGGTGCAGTCGGGGGAAGGCTGATGAACTCTCACAAAAGAAATGAACTGATCCTCCTCGACATCAGCATGTGTGGCCAGTCAAGAGCCCATCCACCTTCAGGATGGCAGGTTTTCATATTTAGTGGACATTTACATAAACCAATTAAATGATTTAAATCTGATCTGACGTCAGACTTACAGTATGTAGCCTTTTGTTTGTTGTCTTCTGGTGGCTTTCTCACATGTGCAGGGCTTAGCCATAGCAGTTTCACGACAAGCTCGCAACTCTGTTCACAGCTTCGGAGAGTGGTTGGTGGCGGGTATTGTGATGATGTTATTGCGTCCTCTTAATCGATTGGCACAGGTGCTTGTATATAGAAAGATCCGATTAGCGCTGGGGATCACCACGGTAATTTCCTTTTCCTGCTCCATCAGCCTCCATGTGAAAAAATGTGATGTTGTTCGATGCTCTACACATTTGCAACTAGGTCTCTTTCTCTCTTTTCTTCTCAGCCTGCTCTGCCACTCACTCCCTATTTCTCTGTCCAGCAATTTGGCTCTGGACACATAAGAGTTTGTAGGAGGATAGTAAGGATTGACAATTTGACATGGATTGAGATTTGAGATGTCGGGGTACCTGTATGCGCATCTTGCATACGGCTGCGTATTAGGTTCATCATCACCCCTTTTCCTTAGTCTGTAAATGATAAAAATGTACATATGAGTCTATAAATAATAAAGATGTATATATGAATAGGACAAAGAGTCCTGTTGTGTCTGCCGTGCCATAGGAGGACAAAGAGTCCTTGTGTGTCAGCCGTGCCAGAGTGGTTGGACAAAGAGTCCTTGTGTGTCAGCCGTGCCAGAGTGGTTGGACAAAGAGTCGCGTCGTTCTGGTGGAGGGGGAAGAGGAAGGATTCTGTGGAATCTCTTATGAATTTCAAGAACCTCAAGTACTTCTATCCATCATCTCACTTACAGACTTGGTTGAGATGAGAGCACACTTCGGATTGCGACTCCACGGAAAATTGGAATTGATGGAACCCGAAAAAGGTGATCTAGAATTGAGTGCCCTGCCTCCCTGAGCAACATGCTTCACCATGCAAGCACACAGGAAGCGGCTGAATCAGACAGCTGGGATCTGCAACTGCTAATAAAAATCTGCTATATATGCTGATAGTGTCTGCCACCGTTGCCTGACCCATCCTGTCCTGCTGAAGTCATGCGCCCCTAGCCATGCCTTGAAGTAGCCCCCTGTTCATTCACTGGGCGCCATCTCTGCAGTTCACGCATGCGAGCAGTCAACGAGCCAGAGGTCCAGGCCCTAGAAACATGAACACGGAATCGTTGCGGATGCTTCACCATGCAAGCACACAGGAAGCGGCTGAATCGGACAGCTGGGATCTGCAACTGCTAATAAAAGTCTGCTATATATGCTGATAGTGTCTGCCAGCATTGCCTGACCCATCCTGTCCTGCTGAAGTCATGCGCCCCGAGTCATGCCTTGAAGTAGCCCCCTGTTCATTCATCGGGCGCCATCTCTGCAGTTCCCGCATGCAAGCAGTCAACGAGCCAGAGTTCCAAGCCCTAAAAACATGAGCACGGAATCGTCGCGGATACGGTGGATTTCTTCCCTTCAAGTGTCCACAAGTGCAATAATTCGGGGTGGATCTCGCCATCAAGGCGCCCATATACATTGGGAAGGTTCTAGCTTGAGTATGCCCTCAAAAATGACTGCCTCCTTTTGCCTGTAGGTTCACAGTTAGAGTGCTTCTGGGCCCTAACGGTAGGGTCTCGTAGTTTTCTGTGGTTCGTGTCGTGGTGGTTGCTCATCGCTGAACATCGTGAGGCTTTCTGCTGATGGGGGTGCATCCTTCCTCATGGGCAAATCTCACCATAGCCGTGAAAGTTTCATCTCACTTACTTCTCCAGAGATGGCGGGCAAAGTTGGAGGTGGGAAGCTGCCTGGGGATCAGTCCGTGTACAGGCGCTCATTCCCTCTTCGTGCGGCCATTGACCCATCTGCAATTTCTCTCTCCGCCTCTTTCTCCTCTTGGGCGTTCTGCATCTACCTTGCCAGTCCCTTCACACACGTGAACGGGGAACAACAAGAAAATACACAGAGTTGATGTAACAGGAAGACCCTAGAGAACCTTCCAGGTGCATGGCAAGGAGGACAGGACTTGTGTTTATGCCCAAAAAGCATGAAACTGGCTGCGATAGAGGACATGTTCATGAGCTTCCATAGAATGACCATAGCACCAGGGCCAGTCCCAAGAGGGGTTGTTATAGGGGGTTATAGGGGTGGTATAGGGGGTAT